ACAAATCCCAAGTGAGGAATATTCTACAAAATAACTAACCCATATTTCTCTAAACTGTCAAGGTCATCAAAATGGCTGAGAAATCCTTACAGATTAATCTAAAGGATATGACTGGTAAATGGAACGTGGCCCTCAGGATGAGTTGTTCATACAAGAGAAAAAAGACATTAGGGATAAATGAGTGAAATTAAACTAGAGAGTTTGGTTGGTATGTAACTATCGATGTTAGTCCCTTTATTCTGACAAGTATATGCAGTGAGGAAAATAGTAACAATAGGGTAAGAAGAACAGGGGCATATGAGTCCACTGTTTCTGATCTCTGCGACTTTTGTGTAAATCTAAAACTATTCTAAAATTCAAAATTTAATTCTGGCTCAACAGAATAAGAACCCAGTGGTTAGGAAAAACTCATTAGTATCCACTGTTCTGGTTGTTTCTCTTGTGCTACTCCCTCTCCACACATAAAAGCCAGTTTTCTTGACCATTGCTTCCTCATAGTTCAATAGTGACTCATCTGTATTGATTAAAAAATAAAATAAAAAGTAGAGACAGCTCTGCGAGGTTGATGCTCTTATCTCCCATTGCCCGATGAAAAATTGTAGGTCAAATGTTACAGTTTAGATCTGTGATGTCTCTCAAAAGCTCCTGGGTTTAAAGCCTGGTCCCCAGTGCAGTGTTCAGAGCTGGAGCCTTTGAGGAGGAAAGGGAAGAAGAGGGCTCTGATCTTATCAGTGAATTAATCCATTCATGGATTCACAGCTGAATGGGCTGTTGGTTGAAGCACCTGGGCTGTTGGGAGTGCATAATAGGAGCACATCTTGGAAGGGTGTATTTTGTTCAAGGCCACTTTTCTTCTGGGCTCTCCCTCCCCTCTGTCTCCAGCCATGAGGAAAACAGCTGTGCTGCAGCACATGCCCCCAAGCATTTCTTGTCTTGCCATAGGCCCAAAGCAATGGACCAAGTGACCAGGGCCTGAAACTTCTGCAACACTGAGTCAAAATAAATCTTTCTCACCCTGAAGTTGATTTGTCACTGCGAATGAAAGCTGATTGACACAACATCTCAAAATTATAAACTTTTTATAGCAAAAGAACATAGATAAAAGCCCACTTCACATTTAAACAACCAAAGGAACAGGGAAGCAAGGTTAGCCCTTCCATCAGTCTTTAATGAAAACTATTTTATGCCAGCTGCATTAAGCTCAAGAAATTTATTTCTTTTAAATTTCTCATAATGAAGCACTTTTATTTTCGCATGCACTTTTAAATACAGGACCACAACATTACTTTCTAAATATTTCATCTTTATTTCCATGGCAAATTTCAATGACTCAGTCCATGTCATGTGATGATCACATTTGAACAAAATTAGCTTTGGGATTTGCCAAAGTGCTGATACTTCAATGCTCCATAAAAGAAGAAAGGACCAGCCAATGGGCCTGAGACCTAACTCTTAGCCACACTCTCATTTGTGAAACTCACATTTTCTCTTCACAAACAGGATATTTTGGAGATGGTGAGCTCAGCCTGCTCTGTAATGGGACAAGTGGGTTACATGTTAGGAGCCCTGCAGAAGGAAATGACTATATCAACATAAGGAAAAGTTAACATACACTTTGGGTTTCTTCAGATCCTGAGACATACAAGATTAGCTGTGGCTGCTCCAAAAGTTGAACCAAACTAAATGCCCTCTGAAATATAAATGTGAACGGTATTATCTACTGAACCAGTATTTCCCACAGTGGGAAGCCAGCCTCTCTGGGAAAACTCCAATATCCTCTCAGGAAGGCTCAAGCAGTCCAAGACATATTCTTTTTTTTCCTCAGGACTTGCCAAAATCAGACAGTAGGATTCAACAAATATTTCTAAATACTGTACTTAATATATTGTTCCCTGTGAGAATATAAAGTGGAATTCATCCAGCAAGTAAGAAAACAGACTGCCTTCTGTGTGTGATTAGATTAGCCTGCCTAGAGACATGTTTTTCTCAATCTTGTTCTACTTACAAGTTTTTTTTTTTTCCATTCTTCTTCTGTTCCAATTTGAAGGGCAAGTGATTTCTTGAATTAGTTATTTTACCACCCTGGCCTTGTCTCAGAAAGAGCAAAGACTCTTTTCCTCCCCTTTTATACATCAAACTATCCCACGGCAATCACTTAATGGCACCATATCTTTCTTCACAGAAGGGAGGATGGACAGAAAAAGAGGGAAGTGAATATGAACAACTTTCCCACAAAATCACAGCAGAACAGCAGTGCAGTAACAGATGGGCTAGCTCTGCTAACTCACTGGACAACAGAAACAGAACCAAATCCAAAGTCTTATTTCTCCCTTGAACCAGTAGGAAAGAAGCAAGCCAGGTTCAGGAGCCATAATCATTTCCCCCCAAATACACATGCACATGGAAAGCAATGCGGCAAATTGGCACTAACCCAAAACAAATGCTTCCTTTCAAGGATCTTTGCTATTTTTACAACTGAACCCATGAAAAATCTCTTTATTTTGTAACTCTGAAACTTTGCAGGCTGGAATTTTTGCATTTCTAATCTTATACCAATAGGATAGGATAAAATGGAAGGTCACTTGGAGGATTCACTCCCCAGATCATCTTGGGGAGAAAGAGGCTAGACATCAGGAAAGCCTCCTTTCAATGGGTTCCTGGAATCTTAGAGGAGCACCTCAATGTGAGGCAATTATCTTCATATCAGCCTGAATCTTTCCTGCCCTGCAGTCAGATGTTTGCACCTTCAGCATTCTATTTATACCCTCCATTCTCAGCACTGCAGCATGGGTGCTGGATCCCTCCCTAATTTTCAGCCTTCAAATCCCACCTGCTTCCCTGAAGGACACCTGCTGAGCTTTAAACTGAGATTGGGTTTCAAAGCCAAAAGTCCACAGAAGAACGATGGGTCAAACTTCTCGGGACACTTGCACATAAGCATTTAACTGTCCTTTACAGTTCTCAATAGTCTTGTCAAGTCTTCCCAATGATTCACATATTTGCTGTTGGCTTTCTAGACAACACAAGTTGTCCAAACCTACACGATAAGAAAAGTTTAGCCATGTGAGACAGTACAGAACATATATAAAAGCATGAAGCCAATTGTCGGTGCTAAATCTTAGTTTGCATATGCCCATATTGGGGTATTTTCATATTAGCATCATTAGCTCTTGGCTAGTAAAGCTGCATAATACTGAATTAATTCAGCAATCTGCCACAAGAAAAGTACAAGGGCTGACAAAATTTCTGGTGTGTGTTTAAATAAAATTTACTGTACTAAAAGATATACTGCCACGAACTCCCCTCAAATCACTACCTTTGCTTCATACACACTAATCCCAGCATTGTTGCTGCTTTCTTTGTTTTGTACTGGGGATCGAACTCAGGACCTTGCACTTTCGAGGCAGGCTGCAGCACCACTCTTGCTGCTTTGTGAAGCAGTTCTGGAAGTTCTCTTTCATGAGTATCTCTACCAGTTGTGATCAAAATTATGGTGAATGGCTCTGTGCAGTGCCATCCAATGGAAAAGTGGGCTCATAAAAATATTAGGATGTGTCGTTATTAGCCTTATTCACTGGGTCTGGCACCATGGAACTTCTGGCTCTTGTTCCAAAGTCAAAATAACTTTGAAAGATAAACATTTTGAATCAATTCAGGACATCCAGGAAGCTACAACAGTGCACCTAAAGACAATCTCGAAAGAGGACTTCCAGAGCTGCCTCAGGAAGTGCCAAAAGGATGAGACAAGTGTGTTCAAAGAGTGGAGGGTTATTTGGAGGGGAATTAATGGCAATGTATCTTGTACTGTAACAAATTTGAAAAATTTAAACATTCACATATTTGGGGGGCACACCGCATACACCGCAACATGACATGTGCCTGGCACATATAGGCACACAAATATTTGCTGAATTCATCAACCCATCAGTTATCTTTGATATCTTCTACTAAGCTATATTTTCCAAAAAAAAAAAAAAAAATGTTCCTTCCCTTCCCAGTCTTCACAAGTATTTCTAGAGTAATACTTATAACTGTTTTTTTTGTTTGTTTTGGTTTTGGATTTTTTTTTAAATGCTTCCGGGGATTGAACTTGGGTTCTTATACTTGCGAGGCAGGTGGCTGCACCACTGAGCTAAATCTCCAGCCCATAAGTGTACTTTTAAATGCTATTTCCATGTTTAACTTTTTCTGTATTCAGTATGCAGATAATACATAAACATTAGAAAATTATTAAGAACAGAAACAAAATAAGGACAAATCACCTAGCCATCACAATAAGTACAATAACTTAAAGCAGTTGCCCAAACTAGGTACTCAAACCCAACAGCATGTGCTACTAGCTTTGGTGGACTAACAACTTTGTAAAAGTGACGATATATATCGAAGTCCTAGGTAATGTTTCCATCCTTTTTATTTACTAATGCAACCCAAAAGTCTTGTGAAAATTTCCTAAAGCTTCCTCCATTATAGACTGGCTCAACTTAGGATGAGATAGCAATTGTCACTAACAACATAAACTCATGATTTCATACTTAGAAGGTCTTGGATATTTGTGTGCTCATGAACACACATGCACACACCTCTAAGTACACGTGTATATGTATGCACACAGAATCCATGTGTCCATGTCCATCCTCATGTGTACATAAGCACACTCTAACTTTAGACCTTGCATTTTTCCCATTAGTCTTAGTAAATCAGCTAACACAAGTGCTTTCTTGTTTACTATCATAGAGGACTGGTCCATGAGACATCCTCACTACAACTGTCACAAAAAGAAGCCATATTTCTTTCAGATTCTTCTCCCCTGAACAAGGGAGTGAGGAATCCCTCCCCTGCTCACTCACTGCTCAGAGCTGCCTGATCCAAACTAAGGACGACAACTCAGAGTGGCTCTGCAAGAGTGTGCACAGTCCACCCTTCTGTCGTAACTGCCATCTGTGGGCGACACCGAGGTACACCAGGTCACATGCACCCGGCAGAGAACCTTGCTCACGCACCTGCTTCAACGGTGTGAGTGCAGCCCCTGGGTTCCCCTTGATTGATGTTGGTGTAACGGCTTCACACGCTCCGCGACGAAGGAAGTGGGCTCTGCTCAAAGCAGTTTGTGGTGCTCTCCACTTCCACTTGCTGTGACCCTAGGACAAGCACTTGCAGAGGTGGGCAGCACGCCTGCAGACTCTCCTCAGCCTCTCAAAGGACCCAGAAATGCTGCACCTTGAAATAAAGCAAAACAAAACAAGAGGCTTTAAAAACTAGGAAATAAGCAAGCAAAGGAAGCATCTGTCTTTCTCACTCTGAACAACACTTGTGAGTCCGTGACCAGGACCACCTTCCGCGAGTGGACCAGGGCTTCATTCCTTCCAGGCCTTCTTGGAGGGTTTCAATTTTTCTTGATGAAACAAATTTGTTCTTTGCATAAAATATGACCATATTCATAAAATCATTCTGATCTATAAAAAGAAAGGGAAAATGCCTATTTGAGCAGATCTCACAACTGCCAGCATAGTCTAAGGCATACCAAGAACAAGTTGCAGTAAAACATGCCTACATGTGTGACTTTTCATCTTCTGACTTCTGAAATTGCGCTTCTTATGGTAAAAAAAAAAAACTTCAGTCAGCAAAGGCAAAACCCCTAAGGGTCTGGGGAACCCCAGAATGAAACCCAGTCTGCCATACATTTTCCCAGATGAAGGATCTGAAAAGCTTCATTGGCTTTGACAACCTCAATTAAGGCTCTCCATTCTCTCTCCGCTGCTCCTATGAAATTTGGGGTAATAACACAATTTTTAGAGGAAAAATAGTAAAAATGGATTTAAATAAAGAAAATCACAGCAGAATATGCGTCTATATTCTACTAAGGTATAGGCAAAATAATTCACCAACTAGACGACCAAACATGTTTGGCATTTTTAACTAGTCCACACACTTTATTGGAGAATCTGGAAAAGTTCTCTCATAAACGTAATGCAGTGAAACCTTGGAACATGAGTAATTTGTTTTACACAGGGTCTGTAAGATGAGCAAACATTTCTAATAGATTTTATCTTTATAAACAGCAATGTCTTGCAAGAGGAGCAGTAGAATAGTGTATGACACTGAATGCCTCGTGACCGTGACTCAGCCAATGGTTCCTCTTCCCCTCTTCCTCTTCCCTCTCTCTTCCTCTCTCCCTCCTTCTTTCCCTCTCCCTCTCTGGGACTATGGCTGATCTATGGAAGAGATTTTATCTGCAGAGGTGGTGGAGAAAGAGGCTGAGGAATCTCTCACTTCAAGTGAGATTGGGACCTATATAAAATGTCAGAAAGTGCAACATTTTGGAGAAAGGTAGAGTATCATTTGAATAAGGCTGTAGCAATATGCAAACCAACCTGTAATGATAATGCAATGCCTCATTGTACGAAATCCTCAAAAGGAGGCAAAAACAAGTGTCATTGAGTAGGTTCCTTGTTAAAGTTGCGCAAAAGACAGATTCCATTGAGCTCATAGATAGCAGTCATTCTGATAGTGATAGTGAAAATCCTCCACACAATAACCCTCCTCTCTCTTGTCCCTCTCACTGCAGCCACGAAGGTTTTCAAAGGTAAATGCAGATTAACTGTTTATTGTTATTTATATTTCTATTTTCTTTATTATTTTATATTAGATAACAGTATTACAATCATTTTTATATGAATATTTTTGGGTTGTGGAACAAATCATCTGAGTTTCCATTTCTTACAGGGAAATTCACTTTGATATACAAGTACTTTGGATTACAAGCATATTTCGGGAACAAATTATGCTCACAAACCAAGGTTTTACTGTAATTGCATTCAGTTCCATGTGAAATTATTAGTTTTGTACAATTAAAATGCTGACAATTCCAAGGGGTCATCCTGAAGTCTTCTAGATGCAAACACGCCTCAGTACTTCCAGGGAGTAGGCCAGAAGGTTTAGAACTTACAGAGAATCTTTGTTTTCTTATGCAGCCCTGATTACCCATGTTCTTCTCTCTTTTATTATGCACCTCCTTTGGCTCAGGTGAGCAGTGTCAGGTGAAGCAGGAATGGGAAAATACCTTGAACACTCTCCTGTAACCAGATCCAGGGTAGTCTCAATTTATGAATGGGTGTAGCTCCATTCATAACATTTGAAAAACTCCATAAACATCTAACACTATGTTTTCTCTTCTCTGTCTTTCTTCCTAAGAAGGGTTTTCTACCCTCATGTTGAGATTTACTCACTTGAATTAGGTTTAAGGAAATATTTGAAAATAAAATTGCTTACCTATAAAATCTGGTTCAATTCTGGAACTCTATAACAGCCAATCACAGAACATGTTTCACCCTTTACATCTATTTTCTCGCACTGGTATCAGGGCTGCTGCAACATTTTTCTAGCTACTTTTCTTTCTTCCAAAAAGCATTTATCTAGACATACAGGAGTTTCCTAGTCATTTTCAGAAGCACAGGAAGAAAATACTACACTGTTGTCTATCTTTTCCCATTTTGCAACAGAGTATGCATTCAAGTGTAATAGCCACATCTAAAGAAAATGCATCTTTGCAGGAAGAAGAAAAATAGGCAGAAAACCGTGTGTTTCTAAACCATGTATATATTAACCAGGAAGTCCCTGCTCCCACCCAGGGTGTCATCTATGCGTGTGCTGGAAGATCAGACATTAGAGAGAAAAAAGGTGCCAACTGAATGTAATAATGTAGAAAAAAATCCTTTGAAATGCAAAAAACCTGCATGGAAAGATAGCTGATACACCCTCAAAGCAGCACTGTGAGCCTAACAAAAACTAAAATTAATTCCAAACTTCAAGAAAATATAATAATTTATGTTCTATTCCCATTTTAATACCCACCTCCCAGGAGGACTATGACTATCCTGAGCCCACAGGGTTATCCTGACTTTAAGTGTCAATGGGATGGTGTGGGACTGAGTGAGGGAACAGAAACAAGAGTTTGGAGCTAAAATCACAAAGCCCAGACACAGGTAAACAAAAAACAAGAGTGAGTCTACTTAATTTAAACTGAATTATACTTTTTTTCTCTCTCTTCAACTTATGCTATCCTTAAAACAAGTTTCTGCAGGATAATTCCTTTCAAATGTATTTTATACTGCATGACAAACACAGAAATGTGAGAAAACCCCACACATCTCCACCATTGTCCTAATTAAAAGAAGCACTGATCAAATTTTACAACATGGTTCATCTGACACTTAAGGCTTGGTATCAACTCACCATGACACAAGCCAACTAAAAATTATGACAACAAATGTATGCATAGACTCCCTCACATACGCACATAGCTTTGCTTGAGAAACGTCAAATTTGCTATCTCACTTAACATGCTTTTGTACCTTCTCATTTTACACATGACAAAACCGAGGTTCAGAAAACAAAGGAAGTTGCCCAAGTGGATAAAGCAAGTAGTGAGGCTAAGATTCAAATTCAACTACTCCTAATCCCCAAATCTCTACCTTCTCCCTCCTGGACTTCTTCAGAGGCCAAGCTGAGAAGCAACTGTGAGAATTCGAGGTGAAACTCTGGAGAACTGCAAAGCCCCTTAGAAGACAGTGCAGTTTCAGTGAATACAGAGCTTCTGGCTTCTTTGGAAAAATTAAGCAGATTTTTAAATAAAGACTTTAAAATACTGGGAACTAGTTGTTTGAACACACATGCATGCATAAATATATATAATAAATACCCCTCCTTAAACAGGCAAACACAATGTATCTAAAGGACAGATCAGAGCCATCAGTTAATGCCATCTGCCCTCCCCTACTGCTCCCCATTTCTTACATTACCAGGAAGCTGCACTGTCATCTAAACGTTCCAGTGGCACCACTATTACGCTGGGATTACATACACTGTACGAAGCCAAATTCTCTTTAGACTAACAAATAGTTTGGTTGGACTGAAGAGAGCCACACATTCTATTTTAACAGCAAAAGCATCTATCTGATCACTTATTTGTTATCTGCAAATAAATAATAAACAGCGTCACAGCCCTGAAGCAGCCCAGCCTACAGCAGTAACAGCAGTCCCTGGACCCAATTTGCCACATTCACTGACTAGCAAAAATTTCTGAAAGGTAAATCACAAAAACAAAAAGCACCTGCAGAAACCACTATTCCTATAACCTTTCTCGTCCCCCCTTTCCCCTTCAAGTTTGATGATTTGGCAGCTCTGGAACTCTTCCGAGAGGTGTCAAGACTCACTCTGCCAGCCCCAGCTGTTCCCAGCTCAGCCCAATCTGCTCCAGAGCTGGCTGTATTCTAACAATCATGTGGCTACAGTTCTCCTTTATTTGCTGCAAAGATCGTTAACTATCCCTCAGAGAGACAGAATATTAAAGAAAGAGAGTGCCCGAGGCATAGTAGATGGAAATCCCTCTGTAACATAGTTCAAAAAGACAGGATGATGCCCCCCCCAAAAAAAAAGCTACCTGGTGGTTTCAATAATCAGAGAAAGGGAAAGAAACAAGGGCAGGAGGGATGGAAAATCTGAAAAAAACAAAAAATGAAAAAACCACCAACAACAAACAATGTGCTGGGCAAGCATGTATATTCATGTAAGGAGAGAATAGGGAGGAAAAACAGAAAGAAAATCTGAAATAAAGACTACAGGACATTTAACGTTAAGTCTCAGTAGGGACATGATTCAACTTGTCTGGCAGCTCAACATTCTACTACAGGGATATAAGCAAATTTTGAAGAGAGACTGAGAACAGAGAGAATGAATTACAATCCTATACAGGAAGCATGTGATATTCTAGACAATTTTTAGTTATTATATGAGACAGTGGATTCAATGAAGCGTGTATTTAAATCTGGTACCTAACTTCTCATTCATACAGGTGAATTATAGTGCAAAATGGGTGTGTTTCTTCACTTAATTCATGCATTCAGTTATTAAAGTCTTAACATGAGTCTCAGGTTAATCTTTTTCTCCACCTTCCCCCCAAATAAAGTAACATTGTGAAAGCTCCCTTCACAGAAGGGATCAGAAGGTCCCCTTCATAGAGAGTTCTTGAGAGTTCTAAATTTCGTAACAATAGCATGAAAGTCAGTACTTGTTCTGTTAGTCACAGTCCTGAATTAATCTAAACCAAGTTCTAGTCAAAGATGAATAAGGAGCTGAATGCTAAATAGGAACTGTACTGGCAGATTGCAACTCTTTAAGATTTATTTTCTTTGGAACTACACAGGTAATAAAGTACTGCA